TGTTTTAGAATTAATTAAGTTTGTGATACAATATATTAAAAATATAAATATTAATATAGATGGGGAGAAAGAAAAAGAATAAGACAGAATCAGTTGTTTCTTCAACTGATGAAGAAAAAGAAGAAGTTGTTAAAGAAACATCAGTTATTGAGTTTGCTTGTCCAATGTGTAAAAAAATCTTAGAAATGAAAAATGAATTAGAAATACAAAAGAAAGGAAACTGTAAATGTTCGTGTATTCCGACAAGTTTCAAAATAAGTAGAAATGATAAGAAAATGAATATTGATAAAACTAAAGACAGTATCAACTTAGAAACAGATGTTCATAATATTACATTTAAATGGGGTCGGAACGCTACTCCATCCGATAATGGAGAAAACGAAACACAGGAAACTGTTAAACAAATAATGAAAACTACTTAAACAATAAAAACAATATATAACAATATGGATAGTGTCAAAGTGAAAAATACTAAAAATTATCAAAACGGTAAAATATATTGTATTAGAAATAATATAACCGAAGATTATTACATTGGAAGCACCTGTCAAAGTTTAAGTCAAAGAATGGCACAGCATAGAGGCGATATGAAGAAACAAAACCGACAAAATACATTAATCTATCCATTTATGATAAAACACGGATATGAAAACTGCTACATTGAATTAATTGAAGAATGCCCCTGTGAGAACAAAAGTAGGTTACAAAAAAGAGAAGGCGAAATAATACGAGAGTGGAAACCAACACTAAACATTAAAGTGCCGGGAAGAACTGAACAAGAGTTTAAACAGGACAACCCCGAATATTTCAAACAACAAAAGGCAAGGGATAACAAAGCGTACCGTGAAAAACACCAAGAACAGATAAAGGCGGGAAAAAGACTTGAATATTTAAGAAATGCTGAAAAATACAAAGAAAGAGCAAGAATATATAAAGAAGAACATAGAGAAGAAATCAACAGGAAAAGCAGGGAAAAATACCACAAACAGAAGGAACAACCAAATATAAACTCATCCGATAATGGTGATAAGGAAACTCAGGAAACTATTAAACAAATGATGAAAAATTAGTATTTAAAGAGTAGATTTAACATAATTGCAACATTTAGTTTTAAAAGTTTATTTTATGATTTAGTATATGGACAAATTTTCAAGTTTAACAAATTTACATAATGGAGCAATTGAATTAGATAAACAAATTGGAGACAATAATTATAATGGTGTTAGTTATTATACTTGTGAGTGTGGTTGTAAAATAGTCTTAACTCGTACTCAAACTAGAAAATATAACTTTTTATTAATTAGTGTTGGTCTTAGCTATGAATATTTATATCTAGACAAAGCGATAGTATGTGGACATACTCAAAAAGATTTAGATAACATTGTTAGACTTATGGTGCAAGGCAAAGAATTTAAACATATAAGTAACAAAGACCTTCGAAATTAAAACATTTAGTTTTAAAAGTTTAGTTTTATAATTTAGTATATATTTACATGGATGAAGGATTAGAAAAGATTGTGAAAAAACTGAATAAGGTTTTAGAACAGAATAAGAATATTTTAGAAATCTTACAAGAAATGGAAAAGAAGAAACCATTAACAAACAGTTATCAAAGTAAAGAAGTAGATAGAACCAATGGGGAATATAAAAATAAGAAACAAGTGTATTTAAACAAACTCAACAACAAAGAGATAAAAGAGCCGAAGTCCTCCACTATGGCATTTTATCAAATTGACTATGACGAGGAAACGCAACTTTATTCATAAAGTTGTATTTACTCATTGAAAACTAAACATAGTTTAGTTTTTGACGAGGAAACAGGGATTTTTATTCATAGATAATATTATCTAAATATCTTTAATAATGAACTTATTAGAGATGTTTAGCGGAACAGGCAGTGTTGGACTTGTTGCAAAGTCGCTCGGTTTCAATGTTATTTCATTGGATTTGAAAAATGCTGATATAAATACTGATATTTTGAAATGGGATTATAAACAATTTGATAGGAACCATTTTGATTTTATTTGGAGTAGTCCCCCATGCACTGAATATAGTGTTGCAAAAACTAGGGGAATTAGGAATATCGAATATGCAAATAGTATTGTCTTAAAAACTATTGAAATTATCAAATATTTCAATCCTAAGTATTTTGTAATCGAAAATCCTCAAACTGGATTATTAAAAAATCAGGAGTTTATGGATGAGTTTGATTTTAAAGATGTAGATTATTGTAAATATGGATTTAATTACAGAAAACGCACTAGGCTATGGAATAACATTACAACTTGGAAACCCCGACCCTTATGTCAGAAAGACTGTGGGAGTGTTGTTCATGGGAAACATATTGAAACAGCCCAACGCTTGCCATCAAAAACCAAAGCAGAATGGGGAGACAATCCAGTATTTCATAAACAGGAAGACTTATACAGAATACCCCAAACCCTCATTAGTGATATTTTAGTGTCTCTCTTTTGAAATGTCAAAGCAAGGTGCAGATTTGAAGCATTACCGCTCTACCACTTCCTCAAACTGGATTGAATTGTAAAGTGGATGGGTTTTAACCCCAAAGTGGATGGATTTGAACCCCAAAGTGTATGGATTTGAACCCCAAAGTGTATGGATTTGAACCCCAAAGTGTATGGATTTGAACCCCAAAGTGTATGGATTTGAACCCCAAAGCGATATATTTCATATCCAAAGTGGATATATTTCATATCCAAAGTGGATATATGTCATATCCAAAGTGGATATATTTCATATCCAAAGTGGATATATTTCATATCCAAAGTGGATATATATTGAATACACAAAGTAGATATACATATATATGTGTAATATATATATATTGAATATCCAAAGTGGAAATATATCGAATATCCAAAGTGGATATATTGAATATCCAGAAGTGGATATGTTTAATACCCAAAGTGGATATGTTTAATATCCAAAGTGGATATATTTAGAATGTCTATACCATTTGAAATTAAAGCAACCTCTGGTTTGGAGTTAATACTATAATAATAACATGTAAAATCTTATATGTTATAATTATATTGAACTTATGGTTTGTTTCTTATTTTTCTTAATGCCTTAAAAATGACTTAAAGAAATAGTGCCTTAATATAATAAGAGGAAAATGAATGGTGATAAAATCAATAATTATATCAATAAAAAATGCTATGATTGTTGTCACTTCAAAAAAGAAAATATGGAATTGTATAAATTAAATTTACCTAATGAAATAGTGAATAATATTATTAATTATTCAATGGATGAAAAAGTCGAATGTGAAAATTGTAGGAATGGAGAGATAATCAATTTTTAATCAAATGTCTGTTGGGAATAAAAAGAATACATAATAGAAATGTAGAAGATGAGATTTTAATATTTCTAACTGTAAATAAAATACCACCTTATGATTATGTTAAACAGTTTCTTAAAATCAGTAAGAAAAATATGAAATGATTTATGATATATTATGGATGTTGGGATATAGTCAAGAGAAAGGAGAAGATGTTAAAGAAAATATCAAATTATTTATTGAAAGTAAAAAGTTTAATATTCAAAATACATTGAGAGATATTAATATTATTTTTAAAATGATGTATGAAAGAAGTAAGACAAATCAATTAAATTATTATCCTGTACTGAAATTATAATCATACTATAATAATAACATGTAAAATCTTATATGTTATAATTATACTGTACTTATGGTTTGTAAAGATTGAAATATTTTATTTTTTCTTGATTTGGCTGACTCTTTCAAAGTGCGTTGTTTGAACTTGGCATGCTCTTTTGATTTTTTCGTGCTTTGGCTGTTTGTATTTTATTTTGTTTGATACTCTTCTGATATTTTTTGTTGGTATGTTGCTTTGTTTTTGTTGATGTGTGTTTTTGAGTTTGTGTTCTTTGATGGTTTTTATTTTTGCTGTTTTGTTGGTATGCTTGTTTGAATTATTTAATGTTTTATGCTTTGATTAAATATTTTGTTGGGGGTTGTTCTGGTTTTTGAGTTGCTTGGTGGTTCTTATCTTGTTTTCTGTGAATTTTGCTGATTTTGTTGTATGCTGTTTGATTTTTGGGTTTGATGTTAGAAGTGCAATTTTATGTATTTTTTCCCTCACCCCCCCCCCCTCACCCCCCCCCCCTCCCCCCCCTCCCCTTCTTCCCCCCCCCCCCTCCCCCGTAATCTTCCGTAGTCTTCCGGCTTCTTCCTCTTCCCGTAGTCTTCCGCGGTCTTCCGCCTTCTTCCCCCGTAATCTTCCGTAATCTTTCGGCTTCTTCCAGTAGTCTTCCGTAGTCTTCCGTAGTCTTCCCGTAGTCTCCCGTAGTCTTCCGTAGTCTTCCGTAGTCTTCCGGCTTCTTCCCGTAGTCTTCCGAAATCTTTCAAGCTTCTTCCCGTAAATTTCCGCAATCTTTCCGGCTTCTTCTCCTAGTCTTCCGATACTGTTTCGGGACCAAACAACGCACGTGTCCTGTGCTTTCGGGCTTCTTCCCTAGGCTTCGGGTAGTCTTCCCCCACCCCTCCGCCCCCCCCCCCCCTGTGTCTGTCTATGTCTGTCTACGTATCTGCATCTGTCTTCGTGTCCGCGAAGACCCCCCCTGCCCCTGCGTGTCTGTCTGTGTCTCTTTGTGTCTGTCTGCGTCTGTCTGTGTCTGTCTGCGTCTGTCTACGTATCTGCGTCTTTCTTCGTGTCCCCCCCCCCCGTGTGTCTGTCTGTGTATTTGTGTCTGTCTGGCTCTGTCTGCGTCTGCCTGCGCATCTGCGTCTGTCTTCGTGTCCGCGAAGACCCTCCCCCCCCCCGCTGCGTGTCTGTCTGCGTGTCTTTGTGTCTGTCTGTGTCTGTCTACATATCGCGTGCTTTCTCTCGTCCCGGGCCGAAATTCTAAGGTGTGTGGGGGCGGCGGAACCAGGCCGCAGGCCATTAAATACATCTGAATTTCCCCTAGGCGGTGCCACATGGAGGGTTGACTAGAAACTTCCCAAGCCAGGCGGCTGGAGCCATGCCGCAGGTCCACAAAATTGAACCTGGCCATCCCGAAGAGCATGACCAGTAAACATGCACATAGGCAGCATCCGTGCCCCCTAGTAAGGGCAACAAACATACGCCTCCCCTAACGCCGCTGTCCCCAGCAAGCCGGAACATGCTTGAGGTTTGCTTGACTCCCCCGGTCCAACATGCGACCTACGAACTACACAGCTCAACAGCACATTTATGTGTATATAAGTATATATGTATATATATATATATATATGAATATGTGTATATATCAGCAAACAAATGTCCATATGATCAATGTATATATTTTTAAACATACATACCAGTTTGCACAACAATATCCATATACATATACATGTAGATATATGTAACCTTCTGATAAGTCGACTCTCCACGCAAATCCGCCATGCGGCCACTCCATCGACTTCTGCTGGATGAAGCTGCGGAGTTGAGGCTTGATCTCCGCCAGGGACCTGCTGTGCGAAAGGTGGGACCCGTGGTCACTGCCTCACTGACTCGGTCCCAGTCATGCTGTGCAGCTGGTACACATACCCTTCAAGTCCATCACAAGGGATGACAACTGTAATTGAGGAGGCTGTGCCAGGGGAATCTGTGGAATTGAAGCCTGAACTTTAAGGAAGCAGCCATGCAAACTACTGCTCTTACTAGCTCTTGTGTGTAGCCACGCTCCATCGATCAAGCCCCACACAGAAGTGAGCACCATAGCCCGGCTGTTCGGGTGGTCAACCTCATCATCAAATGTCCACTCCTTACGTGCCAGCCTGCTACACATTGCCACCATATACATGCTTGAAACCTGCCGACTGACAACTGGCCCGTTCTTCGGAAGCCTGATGATGGTGGCAATGTCCCGGTCATACGCCGCGTCTCCGCCTGAGCGAGCACAGCTCACCGCAGAGAAGACGGGGCGGGATGCAATTTCTCGACCCCAAGGGCCGACAAAACGTTCAAACTTGTTGCTGTCTTTGTCCATGTCCCCCTTCCTAGCGCTGACAACAATGAAAAGGGTTCCAATTAAAAACGCAAGTGAAGGGTTGCAGTGGATAGGCTCATTCGCAGGGCATACACGGGAGCAATTCCTGGACAAATAAACAAAAATGCAGGTAGCAAAGGTCTGCAGGAAACACTAACTCGCTTGGGCCAGGCCCAGCAGTCCGAAGTCCAGTCGCTTAAGCCACCCACCAGCCGCACCAAGCCAGCCCGCCATTACACACACACCGAAAAAGAGGAAGGCTACCGTAGATTCGCGGAGATTGGCCCTTCACAAGCGCTTGTACCTTGACGAAAAGCTATACATAGAAAGAGCCAATGCAGCTGGCGACTATTGCAGTCTGCTCTGGATTTCAGTCTTCTGGAATGCTCGCTGGTCGGCCCCTTCACTAGCACCAAGTAGTTCTTAAATGGCTGCTTGCATGAACTAGTTCACCAGACTTTCACTTGCAAAGAGATCAAAGAGGGGAGGTGACTGACATCAAGAAGGTTTCTCCACGATGCACCGAAAAGTCAAAGATGAACCTGCGCTTTTTGCACTCGCCACCGGGTCTGCTGACGTCGGCCCCCTGGTGAGGCCGCGGTGCCCGTTCCTCTGATCCTTACTCAGCAGGCGGACTCAGCGGGTGAAACTGCGACGAGCACTTTCCCGAAGATACGGATGCTTCTACCCCCCCTGCCACCTTTCAAGCAAAGCCTGTAGTATTGCTTGTGATACAGGATCTCACAAACCTCAAGTTTCACGCACATCAGTTTTGCCTGAGCGGCAGCCAGGAGTCTTAAACCTAATCTCTGTTCCAATGCGGTGTACGCCTCCGCAACGGGCATCAACAGGAAGGCCCAAGAAAAAGAACCGTCACGGCTACTTTGCCGTGATCCCACTGCCCGAAAAGCCTTGAACTTCAGATGTGGCAGGCGATGAAGTTCACCCACTTCTCCGTGAGGTCAGCGGACTCGGCTGCCAGGACCAGGTTCAGTGGCAAGCCCAGCGTGGGCCATAGCCCGCCTGCAACGGGCGGTCGGCCGCAGGTGGGCGGGCGCGCTTTGGTCAAACTCTTGTTCGGTGCTTTTTGGCCTTGGGTGTAGAGGGTTGTAGAGGGTGCTGGCAGCGATTGATGGGTGATTACTTTCCACGCCAGTAACGATTCCTCCACACCTGGATGCTTTTGGGGCTCCACGCTCATTTTCAGCGGCGTATGCTCTAATTGGGCTTGAAGTAGCTGGATTTCAGCTGGGTTACTTCTTGGTTGGCAGTCTTCTTGGCTAACTTTTGAAGATCAGCCTTCATGCCCTTGCTCTCACAGCAATTTCAAGACCGACAAGGGCACAAGAAGGGCTCACGTGAATCGTGACTCCATCCCTGGAACCAACAGATGCCAGTCCTCAGTACAGCCTGTTGCATCCTGGGCTACACCTTTCAGGACACAATCAGGTTGTTGGATTTTCTTACTTTTGCGCCCAAGCCCAGCCTTGCTGATTCACTTCGAAGGCGCGGTTCTCCATCTCTGCCATCTCCGAATCCGCCCGTGGACTGGGAAAAAGGCAGAAGCACTTCCCCTGGGCGGATCCGTCGGATGTGGTTGACACAAAAAGGGGTGCCGCACAAGCTGGTACGGCGAACTGTGTTGACTGGCCACATCCATCTTTCTGGGCAGCTGCAGCATCCTTTTGTTCATCCCCCTGACAGCCGAACTGGCCTTTCAGAGGGGCATCCAAAGACCAAAAATGATGACACTAGCGACCAACAAACCTTTTTTGAAACCACTCAAACACGTCGCTGCCGCACGGATGTTGGATGTTGCGTGTAGGGAAGCATTTCGTCTATCCATTCGTCTCATCTCACCCAACCCCACCCGATCCCATGCAATGCAGTCCAACCCTATTTAATCCAGTCTCCATCCCTGCATTCATCGGTCTATCCATCTATCCATCTATCCATCTATCCATCCCATCCCATCCCATCCCATCCAATCCATCCATTGATGTGTCTGGTCAACCTCTGGGTCGAGATCAAGCCCTTCTGATCCAGATTGCAAAACTATAAATCTATCTCTGTGTCCATCGATCTATCTATCTATCGATCTATCCATCTATCTATCTTCTGGTGCTAAATCTATACGTACATGCCTCCGTGCATCTGTACTCATGTCTGATCCATCTAAGATTCCATTTGTCTGTACCTACCTACCTGCCCTGCGTGCCTACCTACTTACCCATCTTTCTGAGGCTCTACTCTTCTAATTTGCTTTTCTACCCATCCGCCCATCTTTTGCTTCACCCTACCCATCGCCCCATCCTTTTGGCGTGCGCAGCGCTTTCCACGGGCCTTTCATATCGCGTGATTCCCGCGCGCGCGCCGCGCGCCTGGCGGCCCCGAAGCAGCGCAGAGAAGCGTTCCCGAGCGCCGCTGTCCTGAGCTGTTTTTACCGGTGAGAAGTGGTGAGTGAATCCGACTCAGTCACTGTCTCGGTTGCTTTCTGCTCCCCTGCCAAAAGTTTAACTTTTAGTGGTTTGGTGGAAAACCCACTAGTTGGCAAAAAGTTAAAGTTCTGACATCATCCAAGCAAAAATGCACCAAACATGTGGAGGGCTCCCCCAAAACAGCGTTGAGCTTTTGGGACCTTCACTTGAAATGGATCGGGACGAACGGGCCAGGGGGCCTGGCGAATTGCCTAGGGCCCAAATCCATGACACAAGCGGAGATTTGCCGCAACACACGTGCCGTCCGAAGTTGCCTACAGGCAGCTCTGTGCATAGGGCTTGGAGGGCCCGGCGTCCGAACTCACCAAGGGAAACCAAATGATGGAAGTGGGATCCGCACGGCTTCCCCCAAAAGGCCGAGCATCGTCCGCCACCTTCACCGCCTGGGCGTCCTTGAGGTCGCAGGCGTCTGCCGGGTCCACGTCGCTGTTGTCGGAGAAGAGGTAGAGGCGCTGTAGGGCCAAAACGGCCCAAAAGCGCCGGAGGTCGCTGGGGCCCACCAACACCTTTCGGGGATCTCCAGGCTTGGCTCGGGGACCGTCAACAAAAACAAGGAGGAGGTAAAGGGTTTTGCAGTGAGGGTTTGCCAAGGTTTGAGGAAGGGGAACTGATTTATGGTTGGTTTGGGGACGCTTGCGTCACTGAATTCACAGTAAGGTGTGAGTGCTCAGCTAGGCGCCCACCTCACAAAAACCCTGGCTCTTGGGGGGTGCTTCAGGGGAATGTGTGAGCTTGCGCTGTAATGAGGGGGCCTGTGGCGCGGAGGGCGCATTCCCGTAAACTCCGAACCTCCCCACCAGAAGCTCTGAGCAGAAGCTTGAGTAAAGCTTCCGCAATGCAGCTGGCCTTCCCATGCCCCTCAGGTTCTTTTGTTTGGGGCGGTGATGATGGTGGTCCCGTCCAAGACGTCGCCCATTTCTCTTTTTTTTGAGCAAAGGCAGCCCGAGGAAACGAAAACCAACGCGCCCAGGCGCCGTGAGCCACCCCTCGATGTCCGGTTGCACCGGCAGCCGAGAGAAGGCAACTCGTGGCATTGGCTGCATCGAGATCTCATTCTCCTCGCTCGCAGGTGGATTTCCGGTGAGGCCCCATGCAAGGGGACCCTACGGCATGAGAAAATCAAACCTAAAAAGGGCTCACCAGAACCTGAACAAGGGTAGGCGTTCAGGCGCTGGACGCCAACTCGATGTTCTACCCTTGTGCTTTGATTGTGATAGATTTCGGAGACTAGGCTACACTTCCGGATGGCTTTCCAAGGGGCACACCCAGTCTTGGCGGATCGACCTGTGTCGAAGCTATGCGTGATTTGCAATCGATGGTGCCGCTTTTCATCGCCAACTGATGGCTATCAGGAGTGCCTGGGTCAAGACGCTTGGGAACTTGCTTGCTGGCCCGCACCGGACTCTCACTGGGCATTTGCTTGGCTGTCCTTCACGGAGGTGTAGAACTCTTGCAGTGCCCCGTCTGGCACCTCAGACGCCTCGACAACTCGCCGAGTGTTGGTCATGAACTCCTCGCAGGTCATGGGCGATGCCTGGCTCGGCGCAAGAGACGGCATGGCTCTACACATGATGCCCTTGTTCCGCTTCTGGCCGTTTCCCAAACACTGCCGGCACTCCAACAACAGCATCTTTGAAAATGCCATGCCTTGTGTGAGGATGCTCGGCTGAACTCCATTACATGTTTTGTGAACCTCCACGAGCCGTCTCCTTGACAACAATCTCCCCCTCATGATCAACTACAGTTGCTGTTCTATTCTGGAAGGGGCTTTGCACTTGCCACAAATTGTTTGCTGTTAGGACTGAATGACAACACAACAAAATGCAGCTAGGTGCCCATTTCAAGTGGAATGTTGGCTCTTGTCCAAAAGTCCAAGGGCAAAGTCCTTGCCGAACACCCGCAAAAAGGGTAGATCGAATTGCATTTGAACTTGTCGGCATTCCTGGCAATATGGCATATGACCTTCTTCCACCACAGCAGACTAACGAATGCTGGGATTCGACAGCCGTGACATCTGAACAGCTGGAGAGCACTTGAACAAGGCTATGTGGAAGTCGTGTGCTGCTTGCTGGCAGCCAAGGCTGTTGTGGACAAGCCAAACGGGGGGAAGTCTCCCCTGCAGCTTGCTGCTAGGAATGGCTATGTCATGTGCAAGTCGTGCGCTGCTTGCTGCCAGCCAAGGCTGACGTGGACAAGCCAAACGGGGGGAAGACTCTCCCGCAGCTTGCTGCTAGGTATGGCTATGTGGAAGTCGTGTGCTGCTTGCTGGCAGCCAAGGCTTACGTGGACGAGCCAAACGGGGGGAAGACTCCCCTGCAGCTTGCTGCTAGGAATGGCCATGTGGAAGTCATGTGCTGCTTGCTGGCAGCCAAGGCTGACGTGGACAAGCCAAACGGGGGGAA